GATACATGCAAATTTGTTACTTCTTAATATCACTCAAGAAATCATCCTAATATTTAATTCATTATCTGAGTATTTATTATAATTTACAGCTAATGTTCGTTAAACTTTTTTTCTTTTTTCTTTCTTTACTTGCAATTTTTATTCTATTTTGAAAAATGATAATTTCTAGTTGAAAAATTTCCATTATTTGATAAGTGGGATGATTTAAATGGAATTGATTTGACAGTAATTGTTATAAATTTCTTTTATATATAAATATGTCTGTTATCTGTTTGCAATTATATCATCAGATGATTTGCTCTTTGAAATACTTTTAATGATTTATGCTATTAAATTAGTTCATGGTATTTAGCAACATTAGATAAGTGTAAAATTTTATTTAAAATAATAATTTGTATTTCTTTGATGAAATATGTTAGAAACCAAAGAAATATGCAATTTACGCTAAATTTAATCAATTGTACTATCATGATTTAATGATTGTTATTTGTCTGTCAGTCTAATTGAATCATATAAAAGTTAATTAGTTGCAGAAAAAAGGGTGGAAGAAAAGGGAAAAATGGCAGATAACAATCAGTGAAAATTGAGAATTGAAAAAAGTTGAAATTGAAAAAAAAAATATTTGATAAAGTTAGCAATTTGGCGGGAGAGACAAAGTATTAATTTCATCATCAAATGCAAATTTAATGAATGGTTGTTTATTGATTTGCTAATTTATTTAAATCATTTAAAAGGAAGGCTAAAAATTTTGAATTAAAAAAACAAATATGTTACAATCTGTTTGAAGATGAACGAATATATGTTAATATAATTGAAATAAAAAGTTAGAGATTGTTGTAGGAATAAAAATGAATAAATCTGAGCGACTACATTAAAGACCATGATGAAATTCGATAAATATTTAAAAAATTTTTCTAAATTTATTTTTGTTACAAAAATAAATTAAAAAAAAGATCATCTGTTATGAACAATTAACAGTAACGCCGATAATTATTTTTATTATACAAATAATATGAAAAATTTTTTGGAAACAAATTGATAAATTTTGGATATTTTTATGAGAAGAAAAAAAAAAACAGAAAAGTTCATTTATGTTTTATTGTATATCCATCCATATAGATAGGTACACTTCCGGGATCAAACAATAATCAATCAGGTAGAAGTGAGAGAGGATTGGAAAAGTGCTGATGTGCAATTAAAATTAAGGCTTTGTGCTAGATAGAGATAGTTAAACAGTTCGTTTAGAAGGGATGAAGCGGAAAAAAAAGGCAGAAGGAAAATGAAGGCTTGTATAAACAGACCGGTGCGCGTCAAGGTCGTTCATCGTTCATTTCAATCATACAAAATGAGCCGATAACCTATTTCTCTTAAACTATCTGATCTGTGTCTAAATAAAAGATATCAATATTTTTGCAGCATATATGATTGTTGACGATGCATATGTATTAAAATTTTTGAGAAATATCACTCGACAACATATCAATCAAATGTTATGATTTTTGCAGTGAGATGATAAAGAATGGTGGATGATATCTTTATTCTGAAATTCTGATATACAGGTAAGTTGATAGGTATATTCATTTTTAGATCACTAATAGTTGCATTATTGCATTATCTAAATGAATCTTATCATAAATGAAAATTAATCATAAATTGATGGGATTTAATAAGAATACGATAAATTTATTGGATTTAATACTATTGTCATGTATTATTAGTAAATTTGATATGTTACTTAATGTGACAAATTTAATCCTCAATTATTCAATCATTTTTTATTCCTTGTCCTGTTGAACATTTTTCCTGCAAACAGTGTTGTCCATTCTGTTCATCGTCTTTCTGATTTGATCACAAAGAAAATGGAAAATTTCATGGTTAATTTAATCATATAATTTTATCAAAACTAATTCTTTTCAGTTTCAATACAAATTTTCTAATTTTTCTTAAAAACTTACTTTGTTCAGTTGTTTTGCGATCAGAATTATTTACAAACAAAAAAGAAATTAGCCGGGAGAATGATATTATAACAATATTATGCACACAAATATAATGTGATTGATCTTTGTTGAACTTTTAACAATATGTTCATGTCAAATAAGTTGGATAAAAAATGGGGAAAAAAAATGAATGAATGATTTCAAGGACAGAATAATAAATTTATATCAGGCATACGAGCTATATGACAGTTATTGAATTATTCAAAATAAGAGGAAAGGATTTGATCAGTGTATTTTGAGAAATTGTTTTTATCAGAATGGAATCGGCAAATATCGCTTTTTTTTGCATTCCGAAAGAACGATTCATCTGATTGGATGAAGCTGATAATTTATATTTCACTGGTTTGTTGAAATTCTCATCCTGTATTGCACCGTATGATAGTGTGTAATTTAGATTGTGATATCATTTTATAAATTGTACTTTGTACTTTCAATTTGTTGCCTCTAAATTTTTTCTCAATATAACTTCTGATATAACACATAAATTTGGAAGAGAACAAAAAAAAAAACCCAACACTTAATGTTGAAATTAAAAGAGATCCAAGATCTCAATATTTCAAATTTTTAATGATAAGCCTGGAAAAAATATTCTTTCATATAAGATATTTTTTAGCTGTTTTTTCAAATCTAATTATTATTCTTAAAAAAATATATTTCAGAGATAAGTTCGAAAAAAATAAATATAAGAAAAAAATTGGATAAATTCACATGAATATTAAGAGATTATTTTTTCGAAATTTCACTTTTTAATGAAAATGTTATTTAAATAATTATTTATTACACGGTAGTTTCAGTTTCAGAATTGTTTCCTGACGAATAATTCATTCCACATACTATCCTTTAAGTATGCCTTACATAATTTACTATATCATTAATATCATTTAAAAAAATTTATTTCTTTATTGAAAATATAATTTGAAAATACATTGAGAATATAAAGAAATTAAACAATTCAACGAAACTACTTTTTCGTTTGCTCATTTCACGAAATCATATTTCATTAACAATAATTTAGTTGTAATCCAACATTCTTTCTTTTTTTTACAATCAAATCTTACTTAATTTTCTTTTTTTCAATTGTAGATTTTTATTGCAAGAAAATGAAATAAAAAACAATAAAAGAATTAAAATTAAAACTTGTAAGAATTAAAAATTTATTTAATGTGCCCTAAGAAATATTTACAATTAACTAATATCTATATTATGGATTTTCACTATGCTTTCAAATACACACATACACACACGTGCTCATATATATATAGCACGCATACATATACATACAAAGTACAAATATCGCTCTGAACTTTTACAGTATTTATTTAGTTGTTTAAACTTTTGGTAAGATTTTTATGATAAAATATTTGTTGAGTAGGAAGCTTTCATAGAACCAATCTTCATTTAAGATATGCTGTGATGCTATACTGCATCTGACAGGAAGTATAACTCGATACTTATCCGGAAATTTTGAACTTAATTATTTTCGTTACATCTTTGCAAAAAGTTTTTTAGAAATATTTTTTAAAAAAAAAGTATTATAGGAGTTAGCAAGATTATTTTGTAGAATTGTATCAGGAAAATAAAAAACGAATCAATTTCTAACTTAAAAAGAGTGAAAACAAAAAGAACCTTACAGGGTTATTTTCATAGTCATACACTATCACTTTTATTCATATTGATAAGACGATCTGATCTTTTTTATTCTGCAATATTCATTTGTCTTTTCTCTCGCTTCTTTAAGCTGATCCGAAATTATTAAATTCCATTTTCGTGCTTATTTCAAGCATAAAATTTTATCAGTTCTACTTCTTCTTTATGTTGTAAATTTTCCATTATCCGTTGATTATCAAATTTTTACAATAACAAAATTAATGGTAATACTGTGGATCCAGGGATTTTATTAGAAATCGTGTGCTTAATCTCTTTATATTGGCGCGTTTGTTTACAATAAATATTCCTGCAATTAATAAAATAAGCCATAAATATGCACGTCAGCACGTATCTTTAAAAGTTTTCAAAACACTGAACTCCACTCTTACAATCAATCATTATTCAAGCATATTCATTAATTAGATCATTTATTTACTTCGGTAATTGCAACATCAAAAAATCGGAATTGCTAAGCAGTAATCTCAGAAAAAAAAAAGATTTGAGAGATTTATGAGTGACTATTAAATTTGGAATGTATGTGTGAATAAATGCCATTCCTGAAAAGGTTTAGAATATGATTAATTTTTGTGTTAATATTTCATATCCGCCATATTTTCTATCTGATAATATTTCGCATAATATAATTAAAATGAAATTTTCTTTGACATATTTAGCATATAATTTTGCTATTCTAAAAAATATTGAAATTACAATTGGTCTGAAATTGTTCGTAGCTATTAGTTTTCTCCGTATACTTTCAGAAGCCAAAAATTTTGATTATTCCTTAATTTTTACATTATCGAACATTGCATCCTGTTAGGGTTTGCAAGCACGTCATTTAGGGAATTTTTCTTGTAACATAATTTCGATTTTAAACTTCAACCAGTGGTAAAATTGGATGATAATTAATAAATACAAATAATACGCCATTTGGCTAAATAATGAAATTTTATTGATATCATTATAATTATATGAAAACATGAACAATTTCTCATGTCCTCTAAAAAGTACATTTGCCCAAATTGTGGTCCAAATTTGCTTAAAAATCTTCCGCAAAATTTGAACTTCCAAGGACATCTAGCATAATTAATTAAGTAAGATCATTCCAGGGTAAAGCAACAATTGGATTACGACTTCTTCCAAAATCTTTTTATCATACATTCCACTATTTCTTAAATACCACTGTCCATTCATCGATGCTAATATCGCTACAATCATTTTTTCATTTATCATCTAAATTTTTGCTAATCATCCGAACTATTGATACAAATTTTATTTCAAACTGTTGAAACGTCGTTTTTCATTTCGAATTTGTATTAAATACCATTGTAATTTAGCAATTTTTATACGGTAGATATGGAATCGGATGAAAATCGACATAATAAAAATCGTTCGAGAAAACATTCCTTAACAGCACAACTTTCACGAACAGCCAGACGTTTTTCCGCTACAGTGGCACCACAACTGATAAAACTTGATCCATTACCATTACTTCAAAATTATGAAATGCTTAATATAAGACTAGCAAACAATGAACAGGTAAACAATGAACTTTCCTTCTTCGGCATTTAATAATGTGGGATTTATTGCAACCATTTTACAAAACACGCAATTTAATATTAAAATAAATTTTAGAATTTTATTTTAATTTCAATAATTTATGTTTTTTTTTTATTGCAGCTTCAAGCAGCTGTCGAGGGGTTTATTATCAAAAACAATGTAAACTTCAATCCGATTGATTTTAAAATAACAGATGCAAACAATGTTGCTGTACTCAGTGTTAGTTTACATCCTGAGGAAATGATTCTTTCTAAAGGCACCAAGAAGATTTTTTCGATCACATTCGGTGATTCCGATTCTGAAGAATGTGGAACTGTGATAGCTACAATCAGGCATCCATTATCAGGTCAATTGAACACTTTGGTAAAAAGTTCGGATGGAAGTCTTTGAAAGCGAAATTTAGACTCCACCTGCTTAACGGTCTTCATTGGTTAATTAACAGGTTCCTCATAAGCTGCTAACGATTATTTTCACCATAAATACGATAGAACTGAATTTCAAAATAATGACGAAACTTAGATGGAAGCATTACTAAAATTAATTTGAGGCATGCGAATATTCGAATTTTTGGAATTACCATGCTCAAATATTGTCCAAGTCACATCATATGTTGATCAATGTGATCGTTGTCAAATTAAACTCGTATCAAACTCAATTTTCAATTTCTTCGCATTATGTGGTCATTGTTTCATTAGACGCGCAAAATGGCAATTCATAAAAGAAGACGAAATTTATGCATTCATTCGACCTAATGGTACATTTTTCGATGAAAATTCATTACGGTAAACTGAATTTTCTTCTTTTTTTTGTTAAAAAAGTTTTGAATAAAAAAGCCTACACCTGTAATACTAAAAACGATGAGAGTAAAACAATATATTTGGAGATAGTAATTTTAATTTAGGAAATTTTTTTGCTAAAATGAGTATAATCTGGTATGGCAGAGAGTTATCTAATAGGTACTATGCTTAAATGAATAAAATAAATGATATGATTGATAGCATTAAGAAATTTTTCCCGCTTACCTGATGTACTACAATTACTCATACATAATAATGCAATTAATTTCAAATTTTAACTTTTTTTTTTAATTCTTGAGAACTATTGGGAAAAAGAGTTTAGATTGGAATGGATGCCAAAAGCAGATAATGAACTACGAATGATTGTCATTGCATATGGGATGACACAAATGGTTCGGGAAGTATTTCCCTCCCTGAATCATATCATAAATGAACAGTATCAACAAAAAAATGGTAACATTTTCTTTCCGATTGATATTATTTCCGTTGGTTCTTTTTTTTATAGTCCTCAAATCAAAAATGCTTTTTTTAATGTCTATCCCCTTTTCTCTTAAAATGAGTTTTTTTTCTTTTTTGTTAGAAAATCAACAGCTGAGATACAGCAATGTACTGGATTGTAGATAATTCCGAAGTACTCTTCAGGACTGTGACGAGAATGATATCAGCAGGCAGAAAAGCAAAAAAAAAACCGGAAATCCAATACATCAATAATCCAATTACATCTATTGCTAGATATTGCTAAAACGATTAATTATCACATATGGTTTGGAACCTGTAACGTAAAATGAAAATTTAATATTAATTACTATCTGCCTAATTTGTTTAAGCTGATGATATGCGTCGATTAGATAAACCATCACATGAAACTGTGTCACGTATGAAACTTGATGTCGAAATTTAATTCCTGAGAAATTAGTAGGAAAGAAATTATGCATTCCCTTACATCCTATTCCCATTATCATTTTATTTTTCTAAGGAATGTTTGTGGTTAAATTTCAAAAGTTTCAGAATATCATGACATAATTTCTAGGATCTATCCGGAAATAAATGAACATCATCAATTCAATCACACTTTGTTGCCTCTACCTGATCAGTTCAAACTAAGGATGGATTAGAAAGTAATTTAGCGATTTGTTTTCACTAAAATGCAAAATAGGCATTCTTATCCTTTTTGGTAGATGTAGCTGATTTCAAAGTGCCAAACGATGGTGACATTCTTTTATTATTATTACTAGAAATAGTCGTTGCAAAGGAGGAAATAAATGGTGATTTCAGAAATGAAAAAGGAGATTGGTGGACCTAGCTTATTTCAGTTGTAAGTGCAGTCGTTTCAGAAAAGTAGTAGATCAAAGGGTTAAATGACTACCAAATCGAAGGGTAAACTGAAGAATTCATTGGACTGTCAAAAAAAAATATGGAAATTGCCAAATGGAAAATTTTTAAAAGCCATTTAAGATGAACTTTTAACGTCAACATGAAAATGAGACGAAAATCACAAAGAAAAAATCAAGTGTCGAAAATAAAAACGAAGTGAAAACCTATGAAACATAACAACGCGATAACAACAAAAGCCAGGTAGCGGTACGGATAGAACAAGGGATATTGAGTAAAACAGGCAAGAATATAATTAATGAATATAAGCCACATATAAAACATGGTACTTCACATCTTGAAAAACAAATTCACGATAATATTATTTTAAGCTTTGTCAAACGAGATGAACAAAATAATAGCATATCTAACTCCCGTCAAATTATAACGGTGACGTGATTAACTTTGCCCGTTTCTTGTCCTCAGTTTTAACATCAGATTCCTTTTTATTGTCGTCGAACATACCAGGACGCTTCACAACTGTTCTAGGCTTATCACTGCAGCTCGTAGCATCTTCTTTTTCTTTGTTCTCTACCGCTGATGTACCACTGAAAGCTTTACTTCTGTAATTGCCATAACCAAACACAATATATCTAGTGTATAGTAAACTGAAGTACTCCAGGGTTATCAGTTAATAATATCATCTTTCTGATTATTATAATTGAGGGTAGTCGTGACCAGTAATCCAAATATCAGTCTAAACTTACGCCTTTGTTTGATCTCCCGCTTTTGCTGCTTGAGATGCGGCCATTCTCTTAAAAAATTTCAAAAGTGAATTGGGTGGTGAGCTTCCTTTTTTTCTTTTTTCATCCAATTGGATCACGGAACTTCCTGAAATTTTTTGAGGATCATAAAGTACAGAAACTTCATCCAACTTATAAAAGCCATCATAATATGACGGCATAATGCTTGAAGCTCTTTACTGACGGTTCGAATTACCTGATTAAAAAATGAAAACTTACAGAATTACTTACCGCACTTACGTCCTTTTCTGTCTCGATCAAATATCGGCGACGGTGGAAGTTGATATATTTCCTCAGTGTATTTTTCACCTAGTGCTATTTCGCCAAATCTGAATAAGATCGTTCGAACAAACATATATGAAATCAAGATGTAGGAACGATAGTAAACAAACAAAATTTACAGGTGTTTCATTAAATTAAAGAATCATATAAAGGTACAAATTAAATCTTAATGCCTAGATTAAAAAATCCTAATAGATGCACGTACTACAATGGAGCTGTCGGAAGACGAAAGGCAGAAACCAAATTTGTTTTGATGTGTAAAACAGCTGAAAAAAGTATACCTGAGAAAACTAATATAACCCTCCAAAGAACAAATCATCAAAACCCGTCCATCAGGACTCCATGTCATATCTGTGAGAGTATCATACTGAAGATTAGTAGCACAAGCAATACATCTGCAGAGTTGGCTATCAAAAATATACACAGTATTCTTCGTTAACGCAGCCCAAACAACGCGATATGGAAGTCTAAACAGACTCCTTGATACGGATGGGAATAATAGAATAATATATGCTTCAGTTAAGAAATTTTTCAAACTGCAAACTGGAATAAACATATAAAACTTTTTTATCTTGCTAGTGTGTTGTAACTTCAGCAAATGAGAACTTACTTTAGAGGGTTCCGGACTATTTTATGAAGTTTGTACAGAATGGGGCAACAAGACACGCGGAAAGTAGCTTTTGTAGAAGGAATAAATACAGCTGGACGACCTCTAAAAATGTAGATACAAAGTTCTAAATGAAAATGATATCGTAAATGTTTAATGTTTAGTTCGACTTTTAAAGCTCCGATTTGCCATCAGTAACCTCTGTAATAGCTACCCTAACGATAGTTTTCATCACCACGAAGTTCAAAATACATTATGCTAAAATGTCAAATAATCAGATTTTCCAAAAGTAATAAAAGATATATTTTAAATGTCCTTGAGATTGAATAGAAACTTCATGGATATTTTAGTAATTATTTAAAAAGATTTTTCATCCATAAAACTTACTTCGGTAAGTCGCGACGACGAAAAACATAGGTTCCAAAAATATTGGAAGAACCGGTTTCCAAAATACCACCTAAATAACATGGTCAACATAACACTGTAGCAAAAATCTTATGATTTAGGCCGGAATTTCATATATATAACTTCAGAAAACAAAACGCGTGAAAGAAATTAAAAAGTTAAACTAAAATTAGAAATTTTATTTTTTCTGTTTATTCCTCATTTTACATACATGATGTAGAATAGAGAACCCCTGATTTAACAAAGAGTACAAAATAAGATATTTTAAACATACTTGGAGCAATCAGTAATTCCCCATCAGGTGAGAAATCTGGAATTCTAGAAAAGGACATCAATTGATCATCGTGAAATAATTTATACTTCTAAAAAAAGCTTATTTTTTTAAAAAAAAACGAAATTTCGGCATAACTTAATTAATAATCAATCACAGGTCAGATACAAAATGATTGTCTTTATTTTCCGAAACAATTCAAATTATAACTTACACCAGCTGTCAATGTTGACTTCCGCAAAGCCGTTTCCGGTAAGCGAACATTTTGAATGCATACTAAACGAGTTCCTTTTTTCCCACACAAAATATCTAGTTTCCTATCAGTGGACATTGTGGCGATATATTTTCCACGTGGGTCCCACGCAACACCATTTGGAAAACGTCGGAATGACCTCATCTGCCATAAGCGTTTACCTGTTTTATAAGTTTATTGCTATGACTTTATTTCTGCAAGCTTTGTTGCTCTTGCTTATTCGATGAAAATTTCGTTAATACGAAAATCAGTTTTTTGAAATAAACCAACACTTGACTGAATATCACCTGTATCTGCGTCATATATTGCAAAAGATTCGTCATTAGATACAATGGCAAAACGCTTGCTATCCGGACTCCAACATAAAGAACAAATATCGCTATCGTGACTGAATAAAATTCATTGTAGCAGTGCGAAAAGCATGAACAGTTTGGAAATGTCATAAGATACCAGTACCGAACCGCAAAGCAAGATACAGATAAACTTTAATTAAAGGCCGTCTTTCCTACGAAAGTAAATCATAAAAAAAGATACTGCTTCATCATCTGGAAAATAAAGATATGATTTAGACTTCGAGCTGCCAGCAATACTCAATATTTTATTCAAGTCATCTTACCTTAATGGAGTTTTGTATCTAATCCAGTTCTCAACATTTGGAGGGAAGTCGTCGTCTCGTGGAAGTATTACATTTGGATTGTCTATATCGAATTTCCAAATGATTATACAGCCATCGCAATCTCCACTTACAAGAAATTTTCCTTTAATTTTGTAAAAGACAGATAAGAATAAATCTAAATTTTCAATATCGATATACTCCTGATGAAAAAAATACCATTTGGTGAAAAACGTGCAACATTAACAGTCGTACGATGACCAATTAAATTTGCAATGAAATATACTCCAAGATCTTCAGTTCCAAATGATAACATCCGAAAATCCATCTTCCAAATTCGCACTTCTTTTCGCAAGCTACACGTTACCAACTATAAATGCAATAATTGTAAACGAATAATGTTAGTAAAAATGACTTTTTGAGTTCAACAGTGACAAGTTTAATAAATGATTAGAAAAATGAGAAAATATTTGTCATCTTAATTTATAAGGTCCAAATCATTAAAAGCTTATTAAATGTAAAGGAAAATTTGATTCTTGATAACATGCAGAAAAAAGTCAGAAGCTAGCTACGCTAAACTGCAGTATAAATGAGATCAAATAAAACGAACTGAACAACTTTAACCTTATAAAAACCGACTTCATCGTGTTGTGTTTGAAAATCCACAGAAAGTAAGGACTCTCGATCATGCCAAATAATCTCTGGCATATAATGTAGCATTGATGTTACCTCACTTTTTGCTATATTTTCCACCATATTTCTGTGCAAATTATTTTAACATATAAATTACTGAATGTAACCATTCAACTCTTATCAGACTATTACAAAAAAAAAAAAACGCAATTCTGATATAAATGTAGTAATGTGATAAAGTATGAAATGAGAGACCCATATTTTAAATAACTGTTTGCTAATAGCATCCTATCAGTTAATACTTACCAGTAATAGCAATGTACAGACAGACATACATACCTTACCAACCTCAGTTTATAGAAAAGCCAAGTTATGTAATCCGAGAATTCTAATACCGTACAAACATAACGCACAGATTTCGCGGTATTCCTAATTTGAATTACAGAACTTTACAATTCGTATTGGCAAAGTTCGGACAGGTGATAGTTGAGAATGTGAAACTACATGGGCCACAAATGGACGGAAGGGAATTTTGATGTAAATTGCAGGGAATTTCATCTGAGATTTGTTCTGCTGCTCGACTCCCACACACTTCGTAAATCAGTATGGAAGATAAATTAAGGGGACGGATTCCGAGTTTAGTGTCAAATTTGAAGTTAAGTATTTTTACTTATTGACTTCTTGCGGTGATAACTTATCTTAATTGCTCAAGTTGAAATCACTTTTCCTATCCAGTTGAAATTTTTCGGAAACTCTTAATTGCAAAAAAAGGTGTATCATCTTCTCTCCTTCTTGTTCGGTTTCAGGAATATAAAACATCGAATTCTAAATCTGAATTGGACAAAAAAATCTCTGACTCATGAAAAAAATTGCCGTTTTTCAAGCAATTAATCGAAGTCATTACTTAAACAAATGATTCGAATAATTTAAGCCGATTAAGAGGAACTGGAAATCAGTCAAAAACTTTTTTTTCGTTTTCAAAGTTCAATAATTACAGCAATGACCAAGTAAACAACACAAAATAATTACAAGCCTTAATTAATCAACCCATTTAACCAAATGATATTTTCGTTTGCCCCAACAAACAAGTGTGATATTTTTGCCATCCAAACAAATCTTATCAAAATCAATCACTTCATCAGGATTCGTAAACCGTATTCCATTCAGCTTCAGAGCTCCTGCTTTCATCTTATTTATGCTAGATCCCTCACCATTATGTACTTTATCGGCTAATTCTCCCATCGTCGAAAAATTCGATCGAAAAAGCTGCTGCACAGATGCGCTGCCAAACTGTTCTTCTATAAACGAAGTCGGCATGTTCCGCCATTCAGAAAGAGAACCTGAAACCATTTGTTTATGTGCAATTAACGCTTGATGTTTACGCTAATGTTTACGCGACCAATAAAGAGTACCATGAAAAAGTATTTTCGAGCACTGTTTTGCCATTTTCAACCCATTACTTCCATGTACAAACTTCGTCAATTCTTCTGCCAATTTCTCTTGAGCGATCCATTTCCCTAAATTTGTTTGGTGTTCTCGTTCAATTTCTTCGATTTCTTTGATAGTTCGCAGGGAAAAGTATCTATAAAACGATAAAACCTAACGGATTTCGCAGCCGAATTTACTGATTTCTAAAGAACAGGACTGTTAAAAGTGTACACTTTAATTTTTATTCCATATGAGTTTCGATCCTTTGCCAGATTCCTATGTAGACTGTTTGCCTTGTAACACAAAGGTACAGGAAATTTAGTGCTCTAACATCTAAACTATATATTAAAGCATAAGGGAGAGTGAAAGAAGAGGTTTTGACATGGTGAAAGAAGAGGTTTTGACATCTCAAACAGATAAACTGCCGTTAATGATGAAAGAAACTTGAGATAAATTAACTTACCTTAGCAAAGGAACTATGACTGAGTCTGGTTTTTGACGAAAATGCTGGTAAAAGGTGAAAGGTGATGTTTTTCGTTCATCTAGCCATATGTTACTACTTTCTTTTGAAGTTTTGCTAAGTTTTTTTCCTTGAGCATCAGTAAGTAAAGGTAAGCAAATGCTGGCAGATCGCTTCCCAGTTTTCTTCTTTATGTAATCATAGCCTGCATCAAAGTGGCCCAATTGATCATTACCACCTATCTATAATTGTGAGCGATCAAATATTGTACATGACGCAAAATAAACTTGTATATTTTTCTTAGGAAACATATCAAATTCATGGCTTTTTCCTATATATAATCCATCTACTAGCAAGCCTACTTCTATCTAAGTAAATTCTCAAATTTGTGAGTGAAATGAAACTATTGCCCGATGATAAACCGTAGATATTCTCCTTACTTGGAAGTGGCAGTTATAATCACTCGAAAGGCGGTACCAATCATATGACTGAAGTATCTGATATAAAAATTCAGTGCAAGAAAGACCTGACCCGTCATGCATCCGGGATTTGACCATTCCCAGTCTAAGCATATCACCTAATCGAAAAGCTCGACAAATTTCCAGAAACTGAATCGAGCTCATCTGCAAAAAATGATACGACGTAAATTAAATCATATTAAATATAAAACTACATATAGACCCATTGCACACAAGTGAATTACAAGAAATCAAATATCAGTGACTGTGCAGAAGTTTCATCCAATCACAAGCAATGGGACATAAATATTCTCCAGACCCCAAATTTCACTTCCAAAACGGAGCACATTTCGTCGTCATTATAAAAAACACAGGTTATATTTCTTATTTTGGAAAGCTTTCTTGCCTTGGAGTGCCAATCAGAATTGTTGACGATTGACAGATGCTTGCTCGACTGAATGTTATCTTCTGTGAAATTATTAAATAACTTCACCAGTTGCGAGTTAATTTTTCTAACATATTGGTCAATCTCGTGATCCGGAATAATGACCCGATCTGAAATTTCTACACAATACAGACTGCTTCTGAAAAATAAAAAGCAAGGCTATATTAATCACAACACCTGTAATATGACCACTTGGATCCCCAACTCGAGCAGTGGCTCCACCGATCAGAGCAACTGCATGACATCCGTGTAAAGTTGCTCGAAACAAGTTCGTTAGTACTAGCAAATGACCAATGTGAAGGCTCTCTGCTGTGGGGTCAAATCCTGAAATAATGAAACAACCTTAGCTGTAAAAAAAGAACTACATATATAAATGATTTAGCTTCACTATCAAATCAAGATTTATCTAAACAAAAGGTACCTCACAAATAAAAAATAGTTACTCATAGAACATACTTTACCTGCGTAAACAACATTGGGAAGAGTTGACACCGATTTGAAATCATCGCTGGATAAATTGGATGGATGTGAGGTGGAAATAAGATTTCTTTTCGCAAGATCAACGCAGAACTGTTTAATATCTTTTGCTGGTGATGAAGTGGTAAAAGTACGTCTCAATTTAAATCTGAAAATATTTGATTTTCAGTCAATGCACAGATAGCCAACAAGCAAGAACAAATAGTTGCTGACAGGTAAAACTTCTGCATCTAAAGAATAATTCTGAAGATTTTCTGACCTTCCTATAAAGAATAAATAACAAAATAAGGTTGCCATTTCGAAATTTAGCCTCAGCGATCGCGACGTTATCAATTTAATTCCTAAACAAAATTGGTTGAGGTTTCAACAACATCAGTAATAAGTAATTTTTGCAAAACTCAAAATGATACAACTCCTGAGATTCGACTGCAGTTAATTTCTTTAAGTCCCATATGAAGATAATTTATGGCAGCATTACGAAAAACGAATTTTCAAGTTCAGCACTATACAATTTATTAAAAGACTAATTACTTGAACTCTATAAAATTCAGTACCGAATCTTACGACTAAAACGCGCTATTGCAGCAAAAATGAGCAAAGCCTGAGAATGAGATGCACATAAAAAAAAAATCGGATTGTGTTTCCAAAGAAAAGAACTGGACAATGGCTTCGAATAATCAAAAAAAAAAATGAATACTGAGCAAAATTATCAGCTATAGATCATGATAAAAAGTTTTAGTTTTTATCCACTGCCAGAACCTTGATATTCTTCTTTTTTAACCGATACAAATTCAATAAAGAAAATCGAACTATAACAACACACTCTAGGCAAAAATACCAATCAGCAGTTTACAAAAACGAAATGAATATAAATGAAATCAAGAAAACATATACCTATATAACAAGCACGTATAAATAAATTCAACATTCATTTCTTAACCATTCATTAATAAATTTATTGAATGAATTTTCATCATATACTTCACTGATATCTTTCAATAAATGACTGTCCATAGATATAAAGTTATGAAGATTATTGCCGATATCTGAAACATATAAACAAGCAATAAAATTTATTATCATAAACAATTCGACGGTTAAATACCGGTCATTAAGGATACCGGGGTCATATATAGGAGGCCAAGAAGGTGGCCATGCCTTGTGATTCCCATTAGTTTCCAGCATATGACTTCGATCAGAAGAAAAGTGCTGTAAGTAATGTGAGCCACTAATAACTCGAAAATACCTGCAACACAACAAAGTCCAAAAAAAGATACCTTTTTCATACAAATGATAGACAAAGTTTTCTTTTTCTTATTTTCATGTGAAGTTTTTACAACTATTATATACAGCTCCAACATTAAACGTTACAACCAGCAGTCCCAACTTTTTCTCGGTAAATAATAAGGTGCCTTCGATAAGAAATGAAAAGTACCTGTGATAATTCGCATTCAAATTCAGTTCAGGATGAAATGTCTCAATCCAGTATGTTTGAGCATCACAAGGAAAAGATAACGCTGTATCAAAATCATAGACAAGTACTGAACCCGACTTTGAATATAACAAAATTACATGATAATCCTGTAACAAACATCCCAATTAGCAGACAAATCTCACAAATGTACATATAAGCTAATATACAAAAAGAGAGAATTTTTAAAATAAGGAATATGCCCCAAAACTAATCCTAACCCAAATCACATAGTCTCGTCCCACTGTCTCAGCAACACGTTGCTTCCAGAGAGGAACCTGAAATGATGCATTCATTCTATCTAAAAAACAGAACATTTTTATGAAAAAATAGAATGAAAAATTAAAACCCACAAATTTTAAAACAAAACGTATCCCTAATTGTAATGAAATATGAACGCAAAAATCTATGAAACAAATAACTGCATAGTTTATTACCATTCTATTTTTGTTGGAAATGAATACAACACTGCAGCAGTTCAGGTCTTCCAATGATGCTGATACCTTCTTACATAATTTCCAGATATTTTCTTCACTATAAATTATGAGAAGTTAATATGATCTATTATAATTTACCTTAAGCTATGCTAACTTTCAACACTTACATTTACGAGAAAATGAAGCATTTAAATGACAAATGCATAAGTAGAATCAATTTCCAAACATACAGAAATGAGATGACATATTTCTATTTTGGTTTAGTCAAAGTAAGAATCTGAACAGGACAAACGGATCCAAGATGTTGCCTGCTCTAATTTCATGAAATCTATTCCTCAAAAAATGCTCATACCAATACATTGGTGTATAATCGCAATCACATTTCTGAAGAATAAGACAACCATTCTTTTCGCAGTAGGACATAATTTGGTGAATCTGAAGTTTTTATTCATGAAGGAGAAATAAGTGCGAGACAAAAAAGAATTAGAATCTTTGAAATTTGAAAATTTTCGAAAATTCAAAAAGCAAGTGGAGAATGCTATTAGAAACTAATGAAAAAAAAAACATTGTCAATTCACATTCTGCCCAAGGAATTTTTATGAATCAACAAATAAAAGTATTACAAATGAAAAATTCAAGAATTTATAAAATTTTTAAAAAACAAATCTAAAAAAATACAAATTGAAAAAATGAAAATTTTGAAAAAATATCTCCATTCCTTCAAAAATAATACCTCAAGCTAATCCTTAAAAAAAATCAAGTCTACACTTCAAAACTAACATTCACCCTATTCTTTTTCCATATAGCAATTTTCAATTAATTTAACTCAGCGTAATTCTAATTATTTTATCAGTCCATCTTACCGCAAATACGGTTAATTTATCTTCTCACTAATTGATCATACAAGTTTTCTCAATTCTAACAACGACCAACACTCCACTTTGCACTTAATGAAACCGGAAACACTACCCATTCCGGAATTATAAAAATGCCCGGGTTCAAATTAGCATGGCATCAGGTTGGTAGTTAAAAGGCTAAAAATCAAATGCGCTGTCTAACAGAATTTATTGTTTCCTTATTTTCTTCTCAACTATCGTTGTTATCATGGATTGAGCGTCAGATATTATTGAAAGATTTCGCGGGAATGAAGTTTTGACAGTTTATAGTACATTCTTTACAGCTTCTTTCTTCGAGCTCCTTCCCCTCATTCATTATCAGTTTCAGAAGGCGGGAATTTAATATTTGTTAAAAGTTTAAAAATTGGAAGAAAAATAGACGTATAAAACTCGCAATATTTCAACAACATTAAAACCATTTTTAGATTTAAAGGTTAACTTTAGGTATCATCACGTCGTAATTTTTTAATCGCTTGATTAACTATAAATGGATACTGCTGGTTCGTCAAAGAGTGCACAAAAAGATGAATCAAAGAAGCATTCAAGGAATTGCAGTCCTGTAAGTTTCTCCTTGTTGACTTGTCTCTAATATGCGACATTTATAGTGTTATCTTTGTCTCTGTTGGTTTTTCGATTTAGATAGAGTACGGTCAATTTGGACTGTTCCAAAATTTGACCTTTCACCTTCCTGTCATTTGAAATTGACAACGATTAATGGAAAAGTGCCACAGCGGGTCATATTGTTATGAACTACGCAAGCCAAGAGAGCAACGCTAAATATGTTACATGTGGTAATGGTTGAAGTTCAATGATCCAACTTATCGACAAACTTAGTAGGATGTAAAACAGGGTAATGGCTAAGGCCCTTTGTAGAATGTGTTGTGCAGTCATACCTGACATTTGATTGTGCTATCGTTAAGAATGATTTGCGATCCGTGTGATCTTGTTGAAAATCTTTACGTTTCATCACCGCTTATCCACATGACCCATCTCACAGTTCCCAGTTAACTCTTTCAGTTCATATTCGTTAATGATTTTTCGTAATTTGCAGTGAGTGTTTTCTTGCAGGAGATAGAACCATCAAATGCAGAATGTGAAGAGGCGATGAAAATGTTTGTTCAAATCACCAAAACGGATGAAGCTTGCGCGCATTTCTTTTTACAGGATTTTAACTGGCAATTACAGGCAAGTATCTGTCGTCATTTTAGAAAGATAGAGGAATGGATAATATTCCATCACATTAAAGCGTATTTTCAAATTTATCTTTCCTGTTGGTATTTATGTCCACTGAATCTTAAAATGCTATAATTAACTTTATCAAGCATACATATTTCTTTTACTATCAATTCGCTTTCTTATTATTTTAGCCTGCATTGGATCATTTCTTCTCGCATACGCTGGAAGCCGAAGGAGGAACTAATTCAACGAAATCATTATCTTACTCTGTTAAAAGTAAACCAGATGATAATTTCTCGCTTACTATCATGTCGTGGAACATTGATGGTCTTGATGAAAACAATCTTGCTATTCGTTTTACTGCAGTTTGCTACATAATTTCGAAGTTTGTGGTATTTGCACTTTTTTGTGATCGTATTTCCATTCTTTGCATGAAATCCAACGGACTATCTTATCATGATGATAAAAAAGATTTGGATGTTCTGCTGAAAGCTCTACAAACGCAAACATCTCTGGCATATTTTGATAGATTAATAATCGATTAGATAGAGAACATAAAATATTTAGAAAACCCATACACAACCGTAACCAGTTTTTGCCAGTTTTCAGTCGAGTCACCACGCGAAAGATAACGAAATTACTGAATGATCTCAATATTTTCATTTCTCTGTGCAACTCAAAGCATGAGATTTGTTCATTAAATAAGTTAAAATTATGTATGTATGTTGTAATCCTTGTTGTTTAACGTTTTCGATATTAAGGGTTTCTGCTGATGTAGTTTTTCTACAAGAAATGACACCAGATTTGGTTCCGCAAATCAGGAAGAATTTAAGTGGTGAGTACAGTATCCTGGTTGCAACTCCAAATCTGCCATATTTTACGGTGGTTCTCCTAAAACCATTCATCAAGTTGATCTCGCATAAAGCGGTCCCATATGGACGTTCAGGAATGGGTCGATCAATGCAGCTTGTTGAGGTCGGTAGAGCTTTGAATTTATACTATTTCTTTGGGTATGAAAATTGATTACAATAAATTTTTTAATTGATTCAACATACTGATCTTCCTGGGTTAGCTCATATTTTCTCTATCCCGATTCTATCTGTTGCTTTGAATGCAAAACCTCAGATGACACTCTTTATTGAGCAACAATTGCTACTGCTTGCGTTTTTAGTGTTCTAATGCAGTTTTTTTTTTCAGACTTCATTACATGGGCACAAAGTTATGCTGCTAAATACACATCTTGAAAGTATGAAAGAACACTCTGATATAAGAATGACACAAATTCAAGAATGTTTCGAACAGCTAACTGAATGGGATGATGGCGAAACTGTTATCGTTTTTGGAGGTGATCTTAATGCTCGCAATAATGAAGTAAGGGATTTCACGTTTGTTGGAATGTGCAGTGCTTTTTTTCCGATTTTGAGAGAAACTTATACCAGATACTTGTGTAGTTCTGATGTGTCCGGTCTTATATCACTTTCAGGTATCAAGTTTCGGGAAGTGAAAGAATTTTCCTACTTTATGTTCGAGTTGCTTTTTGGTGGAAGGGGCATAGAATAGTTCAAATATCCTGAATGAATTTTTCAACACTTCTCTTCATTCATATCTCTTAAAATATAGATTGGCGAGCTTCCGCCTGGATTCGAGGATGCATGGATTGCTGCAGGGTCGAAAACAAAATTCAAATTTACTTGGGATACTTTGCTGAATGACAATAAAACTGCTGGAAAAGCCCGATGTCGTTTTGATCGCATCATCTACAAAAGGTGTGTTGAGACTTTTAGCTGTCTCAAAGATCATTTATAAGTCTTTCAGCCCCGCAAAGAATTCCACAGCTAAATTATATGTAAAATAATTTAGCTGTGGTAAAATAATTTAGCTTTGGTAGGGCTGAAAAGTCATCTTTCAACAATAACCAGCAAATCACTTTGAATTTTTATAAGCAATCATGTAAATCACTAATCAGCACAATATTTTGGTACCATGAGGTCAGAGATAAATCATAATTCTGAAAAATATGTTTTTTTATTCCAATTGTTTGCTATTTCTAGTGCTGATGTCTTCTCGAGAGTGAATTTTTCGCTTGAAGGGCAGAACAGAATTCGTTCCTCACTTTGCTTCCCTAGTGATCACTGGGCTATTCTTGTTCATTTTTACTGACGTTTTGTTTTCACGGCATTTGATTTCGTAAGGTAAGTTTTATGTTGATTGGAACGCCCTAAGTCTTGCATTATTTTCAATGCAAGAACACTTTTTCGAAAAGCTGATTTATGCTTTACTTTGTATAATTCAATGAATAATGTAACTTTCATTAAACAGTTTTATACTTTCTGTATGATATTTTTACTGTTGTACTTTCCGTAATTCCATTCATCGGGTCTAATTTAAATGCTGTTGAAGTTTACGGATATAGAAATGCAAGTACTAATATTATGCATTAAATGACGTTTCATCCAATATTTTTTCTTTTTAACTTCAAGAGATCATTGTCGTGTAATTTTTAGACATACGTTTTTATAACCTATTTTGTGCATTTTAATTTTTTGTTTTCATTCTCAGTTGATCTTTTTGTGCTTCACGCTCTTTATATTCTGAAGTTTTAATTTTCTAATTTGTATCAGTCAACATTAGAAGCATTTCTGTTAGAAAGTATGAAGGATTGAACAGGGGAACAAAATTTCTGGCTTTCAATGAGACCACTTTTATGTTTTACGATGAGATTCCCTTTTTCTGTGCTTCTTAAGGTTCATTTTCCACGTGAAACATGAAATGATTCTTAATTACCTTTGCATTTTTGAACTGCTTAGTGCTTAAATTTTACACTATTTCGGATTTTTTTGGAAATTATGAAAGTCTGCTACTTTGTTGCCTTCGATTGTTCGAATTGCTTTGTGATCACTTCGCTCCTTTTCAATTCATTTTTTGAAAGCGATGGTAAGACACCGTTGAATTCAATTTAATTAGATTTTATCATCATCACTTCTTGGCTGTAAAATCTCTTTCAAAATCTCATAGTATATTTCGCCAGATGTAATTTTGTCCACATTAAAATCATTATTTTGAAACCTTTAAGCATTAATTTTAGTGGTCTCAGTTCATTCATCATGTTAATTACATTTATTAAATTACATTTATTATCATCTGAACTTGTATTGCTTTAAAATGATGTCATGCTTTTCAATTTTCTTGCACAGTTTAAGAAAAGATCTTTTTCTCAGATACTGTTAGTATACATCCCGAAAGGAAATTCACCAGAAAGAAAAATTGTCGAAATTTATAATTCAGTCATGATGAGTCTTCACTTTTCATTCATCTTGAATTTAGAAAGCATCAAATCAAGTATTTGACTGGAGAAATATGAAGAATCCACGGGGTATTTTGTTGGTGCATTTAATGAAATTTTGTGTACACAAATTTTTTCTGGTAAGGCATTGCGATCTCACTAATAACAAAACCAGGCTATTGATACATTCAGAAAGAACCCTTGTACTTGTGAATTATCATTGAGTCTTTAAAATTTTTAAAGTTCTTGGGTAGTTTTGATACAATTATTTGTTTTGATTACAAAAGTGAAAAATTCATAGATTTGTCAGCTGTGAAGTTTGCACCTGATATTTTTGATTAGCTTTCAGCATATAAGGTTTTGGCTGAGCAAACGGTGAGTATGATCATTTCATCTATAATGCGAATTGATAGTGCATTGAATTATGAGAACAAAATTTGTCATATTTGATTATAAAAAGTTTTTAAAAATAACCATTCTGTTTCAAGAAAAGATCTGGAAGATGAAATGAGACATTTGAAGAGGATGTAGAGATATTAAAAGTTCCTCTCAGGAATGTTTTTAATACTGACTTTTTGTTCTAACAGCAATTATTGCCTACATAAGATTATTGTTCCAGTTCGTCTACCGATTTTGTCCATTGATACTATTTTAAAACTTAAAAATACTGAGTGGCATTAAGGGTCCAGTTGTTGATTTGACGAAAGCCAGAATAAATAGCTTTTTTTGCGAGAGAGAGAGAGAGAGAGAGAAAAAAAAAAGAAGTTTGCAAGAAAATAAAATTTCGAAACAAATAAGCTTGAAAGCGCTGAACAAGGTATCATTATATTATTCAATTTTATTGCAAAAATTAATCAGGAACATCAAAGAAACAGTAATTTCGTGAACTATGAAGAGATGCATTAAAAAATTTTTAATTTGATGATGGCATGATGTATGATTATCACCACTTCATGACAAAGTAAACAAATGGCAAATTTTTCGAATCGTGGAATTATTTGCATTGTAATTCAAATAATTAACAAATTGGAGCAATAAATAAAGTGGTATTATCTTTCATTGAAAATATATA